GGAGGTGATGCTGAAGCTGCAAGACAAGTTCAAGTGCAAGTCCCTTGGTGACGTGAACTTCTACCTTGGGCTCCACATCGAACGAGACGTGGAGAAGCGGAGCATGCGAGTGCACCAACGGAAGTACCTGGAGGCGTTGGCTGCCAACTTTGGGCAGAGTGGAGGTCATGTGGCTACTCCCTTTCCTTCTGGGTTCAAGTGTGTGAAGGGACCAGAGGAGGAGAGCGTTGGTGAAGAGGAGAGGCGCCGTTTTCACTCGTTGGTGGGCAGCCTCATGTACGCGGCGGTCAACACACGACCGGACGTCGCGTTTGCTACCGGGCAGCTGGCAAGGGTTGTGCAATGCCCTAATGAGGAGCAGGTAGCAGCTGGAAAGAGGGTGGCCAAGTACCTTGGCCAAACACCGACCGTTGGGCTGCAATACTCGGCGGCGGCGCAAAGGCGCCAAAAGGGCACGGATGGTGTTGAACCCGGGCGTTTGTTCCTCACCGCCTACTCGGATGCTTCTTATGCATCGGAACCAGAGAACATGACCAGTGTTGGAGGGTTCATATGCTGTGTTGGTGGAGGCCCAACTGCTTGGGAGAGCAAGAAGCAGGTGGACCAAGCTTTGAGCTCGGTGGAGTCCGAGTACATGGCACTCTTCCGTGCCGTACGGGAGATTGTGTGGCAGCGGCGTTTGTTGGCTGACTTGGGGGAGGAGCAGCAAGGACCTACCCCACTCTACTGTGACAGCCAGGGCGCCATTGCACTAGCCAAGAATCCTGTGTTGCACGGCCTTGTCAGAATCCCAACCACTAGACCATTGGGATAAAAGGGCTTGTTTCAGTAGCGGGTCAGTGCGCCCATAACCCCCCAGGCGAACGCGCCTGTAACCCTCTCCAGGATCAATCGGGCATCCACAGTGCAGATCTACTGACACCCCCCCACACTGGGAGGCCCAGGACTAAGCACAGCGGCACCGGCCTACATGTGCATACACCGGGAATCGAACCCGAGACCGCTCTGATACCATGTCAGAATCCCAACCACTAGACCATTGGGATAAAAGGGCTTTATTTCAGTAGCGGGTCAGTGCGCCCATAACCCCCCAGGCGAACGCGCCTGTAACCCTCTCCAGGATCAATCGGGCATCCACAGTGCAGATCTACTGACAGGCCTCACCAAGCACATGAGGGTGAAGTGGCACTGGACGAGGAGCATGGTGGCCGCGGGTGAAGTTGAGTTGCGCTATGTGAAGACGACGGGGCAGCCGGCTGACATGATGACCAAGAGGCTGGTGGAGCAGCAGCATTGGAAGTGTTGCAAGCTGGCTGGGATGGCTCTGAACTAAGAGAGCAGGATCCTAAGGCCAACAATCCGAGGGGGAGTTTGTTGGTGCAACCCTACGGTTTGCACTCGGCTTGTTGTCCGTGTGCGTGCATGCGTGAATGCATGGAATGGAATGAGTGCATGAAATAAATATATATTTCATGCTTATAATAGTGTGTGTATGATGGGTCATGATGTCGAGTATGTGTGTGTCGAGTCAATAACGAATTATCGCTAGTCGCGTGTAACGTGGTCATTTTATGTGTCCCGCGCGGTTTCTATTTTGTCGTGCGCGGTTTGTATTTTGTCGCTTGTCGAACGTTCGGCGTGTCGCAGGTGTGTGCAGCAGACCCATCAAGAATTCAAGGATGAGTTTGTGATGAAGAACCCGAGCCTTGGTTTCAAGCTTCAAGTGATTTCGAAGCTCGCCAAAAGGGTACACTTCAAGATATTGAAGATAGTTACATTACAATGTGTAGTGTAACATTTCTATTGGTGTAGACCCTTGTGAAGGGTAGGTTCGAGACCCTTCGTGGTTGGGGACAGTGTGGCACTGTTCCACATCACTGTACCTCGGCTCTTGGGGTTTGTAGGAGCTGGGAGTCATTCCCAACTCGTAACTCTTGCTAACTCTTCCTATCTTGTGTGTTCTAAGACTGTAGTGGCTGCCATAGTGCCGTTCGTTCAAACCGACGCTGTGTCGTCAATTCTTGATGAAATCGTGAGATCTAAATTGCCTAGTGTAGGCAACGTTAAGGCGGTCTAGATCCAAATTGAATGAAGTCATTTGGAGTTGTGAGCAGATCGCTATGAACGTTTAAAGCCGCTATTACGAAATCCGACTGTGCACTCTATCTTTCGTTTTAGGCACATTGAAGCCTAGTGTGACTATAACATTTCATTGCGTGCGTACAGAACTCCGCAAGCGTGCACAAGTTGACCCCTAAGACACACTGACGATATGCAGTAGTTGAAGACCTAGTCCTCTTTTCTCTGTTTATTTCCTTCACAGCCTTTGTCGAGCGGCCGAAAATCACTGTTCACGCTTGACTTTCGGCACGTGCAGCTTACCAACTACAGTAAGGATCAGCCGTGGTGTTGCGGTTTGTGCCGCCAGCGACATGTTCGTCGCCTTGTTAGGGCCCGCACGGCGTGCGGGCAAGCTACCTCAGCTTCGCTTTCATGGAAGGGGCAGCGATGATATGTCCTTGCACTCACTGTTGGATAGACTGTAGTGTCTTGACGGCTTTTCTTCATTAAGGATCGAAGTTGCTAGTTGTCGCTCGCGGACTGGTTAAAGCGACCTACTACAATCCGCCTACGTGTCACTCCTTTGCGCGGCGCACAGCGCATGCATTCGTGCATGCAGGCCGATTGTAGTAGGCACTCGGCAACCCAATAGACACTTCAAAATGCTACCACGAACCTCAAGGTTCCTCATTAGTGTGTCTCTGACGAGCGTTTGAGATCAGCGTCATCATGGAGCGCGGCGCGTTATCTCTCCTCTGCCGCCTGTTGCTCTGTAAGCCCGCTTCTGCGACGTTTGAGTCGACTTAGTTCTGAGTGTACTGCTGCAGGCTTCAATCTCTAATATTCTAGGGGAATTTTTGGGACCTTTCGCATGCGGACTGTCATTGGGGCTGTTGATCCGTCACGTCGTTGGACATTTCGTGCCACGTCACGCCTCAAATCGTGCTGCCTGCTTGCCTCTCTCCTTTTGCAGATGCGACGGTCTGCACGGCCTACGGAGCGTCGGCCACATCATTGCTCCCGCCGCTGCTGTCTCACCTTGGCGACTCTTCTACCATTGGCCCCTGATTTATAGAGGGAAGGCATTCTATAAGTATCCTTCCCGGTCGCTTCCCCTCGTTCTCGATCCCTAGCATTCCCGTTTTGTATGATGTTGACGTCAGCTCATAATCAGCAGCTACCAACCTTTTTCGCCTTCCCTGTCCGCCTGTTCCCTCTCGCCCGTGTCTAGTGACATACGTAGCCAAACTGCGTCCAACCGTGATCACCGGGCAAGTGGTCGGTGACGCAGGAGCGTGGGGGAAATTTGTGGTCAAGGCAGTGAGGTACGCCGTTGTCCCCTCGTTCAATTGTTCCACTGGTACCGAATCTTGGCGTGGCTAGTAAGCACCAAGCCTTTTCTCGGCTCAGTTGATTGCCATCAGGCCGTGGATGATGATGATTCTTGAGAGTTCTCAAATATCGCTTTAGAAGTTGCTCGCCAGCGTGGTAATATCCAAACTCATATCGGAATAGCTGCAAATCCTGAAGAAAACGCTTAAGCAACTGTAAGGAACGAGCTTGCTCGCCAGTGTGGTAATACAATCCATCTTCTCACGTAATGACTGCAGGGTGGAGATGCATGTGGATCTGGGCATGTGAACTTGTAACTGCATGTGGGTGTGGTGTGGGCATGTGGGCATTTGTCGATAAGATGACACTTGAGGCGCGTGGATCAAGTACTATCGGTATTGCTCTGTGTGAGTACTTGTAACTGTGGTCATCTAGGGTCACACATCTAGTTGATGGGTATATGCCAATGATACTCTACTATTAAAGTGCACGACTGGTGCCAGCTGAAGTCATTCCTTTTGCACTAACCAACCAGAAACCCCTAGCCCCTGACATAGCCACCGTCGTAGCAGTTGCTGAGATGCCTTAGCACTGTCACACATCATGGACACAAAAGCTGTCGAAGTGACCTGCTCTGTACCACCATCACCCTTGATCCGCAACTCTCCTTCCCATAAACTCAAGCCCTTTTGCACACGGCAAGAGACCTTGTTGTTGGGCTGAAAAAACCCTTAGGATCTTTGCAGGAGTGAACTCTGGGTAGGACTGATGTAATAGCGGAAGCATTTAATGAAGAGTTGTGAACCACCTTGCGCTAGTGTGTGAGGGCAAAGTTGATTAATTAAAGCAAAGAGATACAGGATTATATAAGAGTACAAGGAATACGAAGAGATACAGTTATAACTACTTTACTGTTGCTGTTGCGGTTCGATACAGTGATGACTCGGGCAACTGCTCTGTAGCGAGTCAGTTGTGTGTCCTTGCTGTCGCGCTGTACTTGTCAGGTCAAAGGTCGCTGACCTTTGACTTTCGCGTAACCTCCAGCAGTTGCTCAACCTCCGAGGGTTGACTCGCTGATGCTGCGATATGTTGTGCTTCGCTTGTGCCTTGGTGTTTCGACACGACAGAGGCGCTTAGAATTAGTTGTTTCCAACACTTGTCCCCTCAGATACTCTTCATTGTTGTGAAACTTACTGTCACACAGCATGGTCACGATGGTGTGCCCGCTCAAGCACCACCCCCCTCTGCAAATCTCCCACCCATAAACTCAAGCCCTTTGGCAGACGGCACGAGCCCTTGTTCTCTCAGATACCCCTCATTATGGAACTTGCTGAGATGCCGGAAGCCACTGTCACACAGCATGGTCACAATGGTGTGTCCCGGGCCAAGCTTTTCCGCCACTCGCACAGCACCCACACAGTTCATGGCCGAGGAGGACCCGATGAAGAGCCCGTCGCTGCGCAAGAGATAGCTGGAGCACAGAACGGAAGGGGGAGAGAGGGGGACGGGGAGGGAGCACAAGGGGTTGTGTTTTAGAGAGTGCTGCCTCCCCCACCCGCACGGCGCCCACACAGTTCGTGGGTGAGGAGGAGCCAATGAAGAGCCCTTCATTGCGCAGCAGATAGCTGAGGAAGGCAGGGAGCGGGGGTGAGGGGGAGGGAGGTGTGACTGAGAGAGAGCTTTTCAGCCACTCGCACAGCACCCACACTGTTCATGGCAGAGGAGGAGCCGATGAAGCAGAGCCCGTCGCTGTGCGAAGCAGGTAGCTGAGGCACGCAGGGGAGAGGGGGACACAGGGAGGAGGTGTCGCAGAGAGCGAGGTTCTCTGCCACGCGCACGGCGCCCACACAGTTCATGGCTGAGGAGGACCCGATGAAGAGCCCGTCGCGGTGCGAAGCAGGTAGCTGAGGCACAGGAGGGAGAGTAGGGGGGAAGAGGAGTGGGGAGGGAACGCAAGGGGGTGGTTCCAGAGAATGCTGCCTGCCCCATTCGCACGGCACCCACACAGTTCATGGCTGAGGAAGAGCCCGTCGCTGCACGAGAGGTACCTGAGGGCAAAGGAGGGGGCGCGGAGGGAGGCGCAGGGGGCGTGTTTCAGAGAGGCCTTCTCTGCCTGCCACGCGCAAGGCGCCCACACAGTTCATGGCTGAGGAAGACTTGATGAAGAGCCCGTCGCTGCGCAAGAGGTAGCTGAGGGGAAAGGAGAGGGGTTTGGGGAGGGGGGGGGGGGGGGGTGGTGACTGAGAGAGAGCTTCTCTGCCTCCTGCACGGCGCCAAACCAGTTGATGGCTTAGGAGGAACCAACACTCACACACACACAGCCACTCACACACAGCCACTCACACAGAGCCACTCACACACAGCCACTCACACTCACCCCCCAAAACTCATACTCACCGAGCCATCTCAACGGCCTCTCTATCCGTCCCTCTGAAAGCTCCATCGATCCGCGCAGCATTGAAGTTAGCCGTCAGCCGGTTGATGCCGATGCCTTCTGTGATTGTATCGAAGGGGTTGCGCAGGCGCTTCCCCTCCGCCTCCTGCCGTGTGTACAGCACTCCGCGGGTGACCTTGTGAAAGAGACTCGACCCGGGAGGGTCTATCAGAAAGGTCTTCCCTCCCGGGTTCTGCTCCTGCAGTGGGATAGAGAAGGAAGAGTTGAACGGAGGAAAGTTGTGCCACAGGTGGGGTTGCGCAGCCTCTTCCCCTCCGCCTCCTGCCGAGCGTACAGCACTCCCCGGGTGACCTTGTGAAAAAGACTTGACCCAGGAGGATCTATCAAGTAGACCCTCACTGATCGATTTTGCTCCTGCAGTGCAGTGGGAAGAGGATAGGGAGCGATACGAGGGAGCACAAGGTCCGTCTTTCTGATTCTGGCAGGCGTTTCCCCTGCGCCTCCTGCCGGGTGTACAGCACGCCGCGCGTGACCTTGTGGAAGAGGTGACTTTTGAGTCGACTCAAAAGTCGCACGCCGCGCGTGACCTTGTGGAAGAGGTGACTTTTGAGTCGACTCAAAAGTCGCACGCCGCGCGTGACCTTGTGGAAGAGGTGACTTTTGAGTCGACTCAAAAGTCGCACGCCGCGCGTGACCTTGTGGAAGAGGTGACTTTTGAGTCGACTCAAAAGTCGCACGCCGCGCGTGACCTTGTGGAAGAGGTGACTTTTGAGTCGACTCAAAAGTCGCACGCCGCGCGTGACCTTGTGGAAGAGACTCGACCCTAGTGGGTCAACAAAAAAGACCTTCACGGCTGGATTTTGCTCCTGGATGGCAGTAGGAGCAGGAGAGTGAGACGAGGCAAGGGGTCCTCTGAAACACTGAACACTGAACTCTCCTCTGAAAGTTCAGTGTTCCTCAGTTTGGCTTTCCCCTCCGCCTCCTGCCGGGTGTACGGCACTCCCCGGGTCACCTTGTGGAAGAGACTTGAACCGGGAGGGTCAATCAAGTAGACCTTTAGGCGGGATAGGAAGGAAAGTATGGGAGGGACAAGTTGAGTCATAAGCAAAGGGCGTATCAGTAGGGGGCGGTTCACGTCGAAGGGGTTGCTTGCGCGACTGCCTGCCTCCCCTCCACCTCCTGCCGGGTGAGCAGCACTCCCCGGGTCACCTTGTGAAACAAGCTTGAAACTGGTGGGTCGATCAAGTAGACATTCATGGCCGGATTACGCTCCTGCAGTTGGTGAAGCAGGGAAGGGAACATGGCAGAAAAGGTCGTGTCACATTGCATGGCTGGGAACATTGTGAAGCGGGCGCTTCCCCTCCGCCTCCAGCCAGCCGCGTGTACAGCACTCAGCGGGTCACCTCGTAGAAGAGACTCGTAACCAACCAGTCCACCGATCATCACACAATGCACGCGTCACAAGTTTTGAGGCGCCTCAAGAAGAGACTCGTAACCAGCCAGTCCACCGATCATCACACAATGCACGCGTCACAAGTTTTGAGGCGCCTCAAGAAGAGACTCGTAACCAACCAGTCCACCGATCATCACACAATGCACGCGTCACAAGTTTTGAGGCGCCTCAAGAAGAGACTCGTAACCAGCCAGTCCACCGATCATCACACAATGCACGCGTCACAAGTTTTGAGGCGCCTCAAGAAGAGACTCGTAACCAGCCAGTCCACCGATCATCACACAATGCACACGTCACGAGTTTTGAGGCGCCTCAAGAAGAGACTCGTAACCAGCCAGTCCACCGATCATCACACAATGCACGCGTCACTAACATTAGTAACGCGTGACCACCACAAACGCGTCCACTGTGCCGCCGTCCACCAATGATCACACAATGCGCGCGTCACTAACATTAGTGCCTAGCTTACCTTCAAATAACACGACACCCCAGCAATGGACCCCCACGACACCCCAGCAATGGACCCACACGACACCCCAGCAATGGACCCCCACGACACCCCAGCAATGGACCCCCACGACACCCCAGCAATGGACCCCCACGACACCCCAGCAATGGACCCCCACGACACCCCAGCAATGAACCCCCACGACACCCCAGCAATGGACCCCCACGACACCCCAGCAATGGACCCCCACGACACCCCAGCAATGGACCCCCACGACACCCCAGCAATGGACCCCCAGTGCCTGCCAGCAGCAGCCACAAACGCGTCCACTGCACCGCCCGTCTGCCTCCAGATCTCCGGGCCAGTGCCGAAGGCATCAACTGTGCCGAAATAGTGCGCTCGGTAGTTGGTCAGATTCAGCCACTCCCCTCACAAGCGCTCGCAACCACTCACCTTCAAATAGCAGGAGATCCCAGCAATGGTCCCCCCAGTGCCAGCAGCAGCCACAAACGCGTCCACTGTGCCGCCCGTCTGCTTCCAGATCTCTGGGCCAGTGCCACAGTAGTGCGCTCGGTAGTTGGCCAGATTCTCAAACTGGTCTGCAAAAAACCCGCTGCTGCTGCTGCTGCTGCTGCTGCTGCTGCTGCTGCTGCTGCTGCTGCTGCTGCTGCTCCCAAGAACTGTGATGCAAGCATCAGTTCTGCCACGTGGCGCACCAGGATTGGCCACAGAGCCAAGCCCATCAACAGAGCAGCCATTGCTGGTACCTGCTGTGCCGACAGACTCTAATTCCAAGCAGCACCTGGCATCAACGCTGGTGCTGCAGCTAAGAAAACCAGTGCTGGCAGGAGCAGCGGAGGAACCTATGCTGCCATTGCAACATGTACTCTCCGTGTCCCTGCTGCCGCTGTCACTGCTGTCGTTACCGCTGCCGGTGCAACCGCCACTGCCCCTGCCACTGCCGGTGGCAGCATCAGTGGGGCCTCTGGGTCTGCTGAAGTGTTGAAGGCAGGTGAGAAAGGGGAGGAGGACGGGGGGAAGAAGGCAGGTGAGAAACGGGAGGAGGACCGAGTTCAGGTCTACTCGATGCTTTTCTGAGTGATGGATATTGCAACAAGTAGACAAGACAAGCAGGAGAGATTCTGTAGGTGTCTGTGGGTGTGCGTGGGTGTCTGTATGTATGCGTGGGTGTCTGTAGGTGTGCCTTTAGGTGTGTGCAAGTGTGTGTGGGAAAAGGAAGGCAGCAGCAGGAATACCTACAACTGCTCTCACTTGTCACATTCTCTCCTCCTGTCGTCACTTCCCCCCGCCCGCCCCCCTCCTTTCCCATATCCTCCGCCTCCTCCCCTCCCCTGTTCACCTCTCCTCCCCCTCTCGCCTCCTCCTCGGCTCTCCGCCGTGCAACGTTGACAAAGTGCATGGGGTGGGTGATGGACACAGGGCGCACACGCGCCACCTGGGAGGGAGAGGTAATGCAGGGGGGGGGGTGGGGGGGGGTGTTTGAATCTTGGGTGGGGTGAGTGGGTTGACTCAGTATATTCCCTCACCCACTCTCCGCCGTGCAACGTTGACAAAGTGCATGGGGTGGGTGATGGACACAGGGCGCACACGCGCCACCTGGGAGGGAGAGGTAATGCAGGGGGGGGGGGTGGGGGGGGGTGTTTGAATCTTGGGTGGGGTGAGTGGGTTGACTCAGTATATTCCCTCACCCACTCTCCGCCGTGCAACGTTGACAAAGTGCATGGGGTGGGTGATGGACACAGGGCGCACACGCGCCACCTGGGAGGGAGAGGTAATGCAGGGGGGGGGGGGGTGGGGGGGGGGTGTTTGAATCTTGGGTGGGGTGAGTGGGTTGACTCAGTATATTCCCTCACCCACTCTCCGCCGTGCAACGTTGACAAAGTGCATGGGGTGGGTGATGGCCACCGGGCGCACACGCGCCACCTGGGGGGGCAAGCAGGAGCGAGGGGGGAGAGAGCAGCGCGGACTTGAGTCTCGGGTGGGGTGAGTGGGTCGACTCAGAAGAGTCGCCTCCTCGGCTCACCGTCTTGCAGCATTCACAACGTTCACAAAGCGCTTGGGGTGGGTGGATCATGTGATGGCCACCGGGCGCACACGTGCTAACCTGGGAGGGATGGAAAGTGCAGGGGGAGGGGAGGGGGGACTTTGAGTCGCGAGGGGGGGTTGGGGAACTTTCAGTCTAAACCCAGTCCAGAATGCCTGATGCAAGGCACCCACCTCTGCACCCAGAGCTCGCATTGCCTCGGCCTTCTCCATCCACAGCAGCGCCGTCTTGCATCGCCAGAAAGCAACATCATCCAAGTTATACAAACCCTGAGCCCTAACACCCTGATGCAAGGCACCCACCTCTGCACCCAGAGCTCGCATTGCCTCGGCCTTCTCCACAGCAGCATCGTCCGGCATCGCCACGAAGCAGCGGCACCCAAACGCCGCGGCGACCAATGCGAGCGCGACACCTGTGCTGCCCGCACTGCCCTCCGTTATCAGCCCTCCAGGTTTCAACTGCCCAGACTCGAGAGCCTGGCGAGTGAATGGGGAGCAAAAAAAGGGAAAGACAGGAAAAAGTTGGAGTCAGTCTGCCCTTGCGCCAAGCGTCCCGTCACCTGCTTTCCTGCGCTGCACTCGTGGAAGCAGGTGAAGCCGGTGAGCAGGTAGGTGCGCCAAGCGTCACGTGCTTTCCTGCACTGCACTCGTCACTCACGTCACGTGTCAGGACTCAGGAGGAGTGCTGCCAGCCTGGCTTGCCATGTGACGAGTGCAGTGCAGCGATCGCCAGCTTTACTAGGGACCGCGACGCGTTCTACATAGTGCGGAATGGTTACCTCCTGCACGATCTGTAGCGCCACGCGGTCTTTAACGCTGCCGCCCGGGTTGACGAACTCCGCCTTGCCGTAGATCTCGCAGCCAGTCGCGGCGGACAGACTCGCGATGCGGATCAGCGGCGTGTTGCCGATCGCCGCCACCAGCCCGTCGCGGCCCTTCCGCGAAGCTTCGTGGCTCTTATGCCGGCCGATCGCAGCTCTTGGCCCGTCGCGAGTATGCGACGTGGGCTCCATGCGAGTCGCAGGGATCGCACGGCCGGTCGTAGGGGTCGTACGGCCAGTCGCACAGCAAGTCGCAACTGCTGCTGGGGGCGCTTTGAAGCCGTCGATATCAAGAGGAGCGACGACGAGGAGAGAATTGCAGCCGTCCATATTGTGGCGGCAGTGAGGCGCGGGGGGTGCATTTTGATTGGACGATGAGGGGAGCAGCGAGACTGGAAGCGCCGAGAGGACGGATCGCGTGTTATGGAGTAATCTGAAGCCAGAGCAATCAGGGAGGAAGGTGCGTGTGATGCGGCGCAGGATGCGGAGGAGGAAGGCATGGATGATCGCGGGAAGCGAGTGGAGCGGCCGCGAGAGGACGAGAACGACGACTGCGGACGCGAATCCAGCGGCAGTTGCGGCGGCAAGTGCGGCGACGGTAGCGGGGATTCGCCGGGCCGCCATGGCGCGGAGCCAATGACGAAATGCCATGCCTAGAGAAATGGCGTGAAAATCTCGAGGCTGACGAAACTCGCTATGCTGCGCTTGTCGCTCCGCTAAAGCACAATCCACTTTGCTACCTCGATACTATTCATCATGGTAAGGCCTTATCAGGCTGAGCGAGCATCCATTGTCTCTAACGGCTCATTTGACATTAGAGACTAATTGACCTGCATTAATAAATGGGTGTAAGAATGTCTAGGAGTCTAATATGATTGAAAAATTTATATGATGGTTGAAAATGTATTATTACCAGTAGTAGGCTGGCCGTTCAAAAAAAAAAAAAAAAAAAAAAAAAAAAAAAAAAAAACAACTGATAAACTAACACATTTTCTCTTTTGTAGATAATCGTTTTTTCCTAGAACCAGATAATACTTCCTGATTATATTAGCCGCACATGCGGATAGAGGGATTTTATTCCTATCCAAACCAACCAGAATGACCCACCCATCTATTTTGCAATTTAGTGGTTGAAGAATTAACTGTTCTTGTTGTTACCACGCTACATTCAAAATCTAGACGCCATTTCTTGGAAGTTTGACCCTTCTACCGCGTATTTCTGGAACTTTGACCTGTCTAGCGCGTACAGATGATGCCCGGTCGAGCCCCCCAACCTTGCCTTACTCTCTGGGCGTTGAAGTGATTCTTGCACTTCGCTAAGTTTTCGTCATATCGCACCTAGCAAAACGGGCTTAAAAAAACATTTGTAACTCGCCGTTGACCGTTTTACTTTGGTCTCTTCGGTCAAACTTCAGTTTCTGTGGTTCTCATTGCTCGAGGTGCTTGTAAAAGGGGTGCAACTTGCAGGCGCAAAATACACGGGTGCAGAGTTCCCGTCGCATGCACAGAAAATTTGCGTGCAGGGGCTGGGCATCACTTGTATCTTGAAAGTTTGACCTGTTTATTCGTTTTCTTGGAAGTCTGAGGGCGCATTCCCGGCCTCGAGCGCGTTTTCTTGTCTGTCCCATATGACACTAGTGTCTGTGAACCTCAACCAGTTGTACGCGTTTTTCTTTAAAAAACAAATACTCTTCGTTCACGGTCTTCTTCGCAAACTTTGTTTTGTGCGCCATTCGTATATGTCAACTCGTTCTTTGTCGCCATCGTGTTGGGTTTCGCGCGAAACTAGGTTTGCAGGTTACTATAGAACTTGTTAGAAGTGACTGTTGGAGCTAGGGTACGCAGCTGACTGTTGGAGGTCTAACGTGGTGCCCAGTTAGCACGCTGTCGTCTTATTAGGCGCCGCGTGAGTGGCACGCTAGCCTCAGGTTCGGTTCGGTGGGATTCCGCTGGCAGTGGTCCAGTGATGGATAGACCTGAGGTTGCGCTGTTACATCGTATTAGACAGTGGATACTAAACGGCTTATCTTCAGGCCACCGAACTTATTTACGTGTCACTCGCCGAGTGGCTATGAAGCGGCCCAATCGGCCCGTGCCACTGATATGCAACGAGTGGAGGGAAAGCTTTCTGTCTTCCACACTCTCTCCTCCGCCAGCCACCCACTGAGTGGTTCCGACTCGGAAACTAGGGCGATCATGTGCCAGTACAATATAAATTGTCGAATCATCATGAATCACATAAGTTGTCTTTTTGGCGAGCCACCAGTGCGATGTGCCAGTGACTTTCCAGTAGTTCTGCCGGAACCCTAGCCGACCAAGCTAGTAGGTATTGAGATCAGCGTCATGGAGCGGCGAGCATTATCACCTCTCGTCTGCCGCCTGCTGCTCTGTAAGTCTTTTGAGAATTTCTGCTGAGTGCCGCTGGCTTTTTGTGTTGATCAATACACTTATCGTGGCTGATGGTTTTAAATTTCGTCTGAAAAATCCGTCAGGTCGTTCGAAGATCGTGCCGCACCTAGTGACATCTTAAATCTAGCCTAGGTTAGGGTACTGAGTACCTTCTTGCCTGTCTGCCTGTATGCCTGCAGGTGCGACGGTCTGCACTGCCTACGGCGTGTCGGCCACGCCATTGCTCCCGCCACTCCTCTCTCATCTCGGCAGCCCTTCTGCTGATTCTGCTGCTTCTGCGGCTTCTACTGCTTCTGCCACTCCGGCCAAAGTTTGGAAGGGAAAAGTAATGTGTAAGTGTGTTAGCCGTCAGAATTAACGAGGCTTATCAGTCGACCAACTTGGATGTAATAGAACGAACTGATTGCAATCACTCTGATGAACGTTTATAATAGTATGCGAACGTCACGTTCAAGTGAAGATGGTCTTTTGATGAACTGTGCAGCTCGTCGCTGATTGATGTTGGCTGCAAATGAGTGCTTGCTGCATGGATTGCGTGCTGCACCCGAAGCCGTTTGCTGCCACTGATGCGTGTGATATCATTCCCTTCCCCTCCTTCCCTTCCCTGTGCATTCCCGTCTATACTAAGGATGATGAGGATGATGAAGTCACTCTAGTATTTGCAGATACCATGTAACGCCTGACGAGGTGTTATACACCAACTCTTTTGCTCAGAATTATCAACTTTTGCGCCTTCCCATTCCCTTTCCAACCCCTCCCGTTCCCGTTCCTAGACGAATACTCGGTGAAACTTCGTCCTGCCAAGGCCAATGGGAAAGTAATCGGCGACAAAGGAGCTCGGGGGAAAATGTTATACAGGGTCATGAGGTACGCCCCCTGTTCCCTCGTTCACTTGGTCGTTCCAGTGGCAGCGATGAGACGAGTCCTGTTGTGTTTCAGTGACTTCTGCGAGTGTTGCGACTTCTGCAAGCGTTGCGAGTAACAAACTGTCCCTCTGAAGCGACGCTCGTTTCACTGGCTGTGCTGGCAAGTGTTGTGGAGCCTTCTTTCGAGTTGGGCTTTATCGCATTTTTTCTTAAACGTCCGCATAAACAACCGCTGTGTGAACCTCTGAGTCGGCACGTGTCTCAGCGGCAGTACAGTACTTTGTGAAGGAGCGCCTATGCAGTGCATTGCCAGTATACTCTCTAATAAGTGCCTCCGCTTTCTCCTGTTGACAGGTACTCTCCAACGTCGTACACCGCGAAAATTAAGGTACTGCTTTTGAACCTCAAGGGAGGCGATTCACCCGTGTATGACTTCGCAGCTACCTGCTCAGGAGTTCCCGCGACAACGCTGGCCTTTCTGAACATCACACGCCCCAAGGCCAAGCGCTTCAGCTGGAAGTTCGAGTCTGAGCTGAGCGTAGCCAGTCAAAGCGCCGGCAAAGCGGCACTGGATGCGGTTGTGACGAACGCATATGGTACTGTAGGGCGTGCGGGTAACAAGTTGGCGCTGTGTGGCCCGGTGTTTTACTGGTATCCGAAGAAGTAGACGCGTTTGGGTGGAAGTGCACTACTAGGGTGTTTGAGACGTCTCAAAAGTTGTCGAAATACCGGCGGAGGAAGTAGAAGCATTTGGGTGGAAGTGCATGGCTAGGATTTCATCAGGGTTTTATGCAATGGTGCGATTGTTGGAGAGTGGAGATGCATGTGGATGTGGGCTTGCTTTAAGTTGACTTGAAGCTCTTGAATGGGGAAGGGGGCATCTATAGGCAACATGCCAATGCTGAATTGATGAACATTTGTGTTGTTTTAGGGTTGATTAACAAATTGATGGCTGGCTACCGGTATGTTAACTTCTTTTGCAGTGAGCAAGAGCTCCCCTGGGCCCTCAGATAATCCTTGTTATAAACTTGCTCAGATGCTGCACAGTTACAACTTACACGCAGGGCCTCAGATGTCAGGAATTTTACCCTGAATTCCTGAAGTTTGACCCTTGTTTTTTATTGCGACCCTGATGGATCAGCCTTTTTTTTTTAGCGACCCTGATGGATCAGTGTTTTATTTTGTAGAACACTGAATTTTCAGTGTTTTGTGTTTGCAGACACTGACGAGTCAGTGTTGTATCGGGGTTGACCCTGAAACCGAAACTCCGTGTTTCTCGCATATTGGCGCGCCGTCATCATTCATGTACACCCTTTTTCTCGATAGACTGGCATATGTTATACTGACAGAGACGCTTAGTGTAGCCACACCGGACCAAAGAAGGTCCTATCACATGCTTTACAGTGACAATTTGACCCAGGGCGTTTAGTTTTCTACGTTCTACAATGGTACTGTTGTTTTCAAAGCGGTCGGGACGGTTATTCAACGTTGAATGCTTTTTAACGGCCCAAGGCGTGTTTCAAACCCTCGTGCGACTTTGCCCGCAACCGACTTATCTCACCAGCCCGCTACGTCCAAACACTGTAGCCAGTGCTTCCGCCGGTGAGAGAGGTGAGAAAGAGGGTGTACCCAACGAGGATCGACGCCACCCTGCGGCTCAATTTTGGGCAGTGTTTGCGCAAAGGCGCTATTTGATTGGCTGTTCCAAGTGTTTCAATGCTTCGTTGACTCTGACTTCTGCCAACACTTGTCATTCTTGGCCTCGCTGCGCACAAATCCAGAGTGGACCAGTGGTGAATGGTGGCATCAGATCAGATTCACCACGCAAGGGCGTGGTTGTGCGGTTCGACCAGCCGACCCATGCCGCAGGGGGTCTCGTTCATTCATGCTCTCCACATCACGACCGGGCCTGCACCCCTTCTTTAATTATTCTATCAGTGTTTTTTGAAAAGGCACCCTGTGTGATCAGTGTTTTTTTTTTACTAACCCTGAAAAATCAGTGTTTCTAAGCAGGCAACACTGAAGATCAGTGTTACACCTCCAAGGGACCCTGAGTGCTCAGGGTACCCTTAAACGAATCTGAGGCCCTGCTTACACGGCACCAGTCACAACTACCGTACATGCCATGATCACCATTACACCTCTCACTTGCACATTCAGACCTAAGTCGTCGTCAAGCCTTCTGGCAGCAGGCAAAAGGTGGGCCGGGCCCACACAAAACACAAAGAACAATGATCCAATGAAGAGATGGTGGAGGAGGCAATGCAGGGAGGTGGGTCAAACAAGGAGGTAGACGACACGAGGGTGCGTGTTTGGGGAGGGCAGTGGGTAATGGGGGTTGGGGAGTGG